GAGTGAATCATTATAATTATTTGAAATTTAAATATAATATGCTTTATAATATATAATTTTAATTTTGTTATAATAAATTTAATTTTTTTTATTAAAAAATTTTTTTATTGTATAATAAAAAGTATCTACAATAATATGGGTACCCTCTGTAACATTTCTCATATAACCAATTGATTAGTAAATTTAATACTAATATAGTTACAAAAACTATTTAAACAATATAAAAAATAAATATTAAAATCAATATATATTTAAGATACAGTAGTATCAAGCAACCATAAATATTTATTCAAGTTTATATATAAGACTATAAGAAATTGAAAGTTGAAAAAAAAAGAAAATATTAAACAAAAAGATAAATATAAAAAAACTAATTATAAAGCTAAGAATACATTAAATAAAATCATTAAGCATATTATATTAGCAGTTCTATTTAATTAAAGTATAATGGTTGCATTTCCAAAAATAGTCAGACTATTGTTCAAAGTATACAATTGTATTAATGATATATCTTTTTGATAGATAATTAGTTATAATTATAGTATTATTATTATAGTGATATAATTTGTAATTGGTGACCTGTGGGTCTGTAGTGTAGTGATTAACACTCCACAGGTCAAATCACAAGATACCAGTTCAACCCCATGTGAGTGTGGTTGAATAGAATTAATATGGTATCTGGTGCCATAACTTGTATAAGCACTGTTTCTTATGCGAAGCCATTTCACATACTGATCCAGTGGGTATTGAGATTGTGATTTCCAGAAAAGGTGTCATGGTGCGACGATCGTCTGGTTGGTGCTACAATAATCATCAGAAGTTGTAAGGTATATGAAATGTCCAGTTTAATATAAGATGGTTTGGTGATCGCTTCTTATAATACCTGGTGTCTTTTCTGCAAAAGATTACCTGAAAGTCCTATTCCAATCCAGTAAGAAGTCCACTCCTGTATCACTTATCCCGAGAAGGCATCTAGTATTTCCAAGTAATCGCAAGACTACTGTAGGTTGTAAATCTATAGTTGTAAGTACCTTGAACATTCATGAGCTATAACAGAAAGGCAGAAATTAAATGGTTAAAGACCAGCTGCAGGTGGTACAGAGTGGTAAGACTAACCTCGAGTAGGATTTTATTCATCAAGAAAAGGTATTATTCCTAGTTCCCCACTTTTCCTTTCCCTTAAAATACCTCCAAATAAAACCTAAATAAGTGCTGTGATATTTTCACACTAGTGGAGTCTTGGTATACTAGTCTTGGTCCCTTTGCTATAGCCTAGGCTATAGTATAAACCAATAACTCAAAGCTGACATAGGGGTAAAATTTTGATGTAGTTTAATATATAGATATGTTAGATATTATAGCAGTTAGCATGTATTCAATATATATATAATTAACTTGCAAATTTCTTAAACAATAAAGTATACCGAGCATGGCTTCAGTTAGTGTATGGAAAAAAAAAATAATTTGTAATTGGTTTGTTTGTCAGTAATATAATTTTGTTTTTATTGTTGTTATTATAAAAAGTTTTGTTTACATCAATCAAAATATAGTGTTTTGATTATACAAATTTGATTAAAAATTAATAGTGTTTAAGTAGTTAAGTTTGAAATGTTAATCAATTGACAAAAGTAAACTGATCATAGTTTTTTAATAAAAAATTTTTGAGTGAAAATTTTTGATTTTTGATAATGTAATAAAGTATATTAAGTAATAGTAATAAATAAATATTAAATATATTATTGGTGCTTCAAGTTAACAATATAAACAATTTTGATGTAAGTTTAGTTTTTTTTGATAAAATTAGGTTTACCAAGAAAAAAATACAGTTATTTAAAAAAATTTGCATATTAAAAAAAAAGAAAATAGAAAGAACCCTGAGAAAATTTATAAAGAAATAACCATTACAAACCTTTTCTCATATAATTAAAAAAAAACAAGACCTTCAAATTTGGTTTTCTCTGATTAGAAGTTCTATTCTGATTATCAATATACTTTTTTGATTTTCTTAAGGCTCTTATAATGAAAAAAAAGAGTATGTGAAGAACTTTTGAATATTAAAAAATAAAAAAATATTTATTTTTTTAATTTTGAAAAAAAATTATTATAAAAGGAAATTTTTAAGAAGAAGTTATATGTGAAAAATTTTTTTACATTACTTTTTTATTTATAGTATTATATTTATAAAGTTATATATATTATAAAAGAAACAATATCTCTTAATTATAAAGCATATAATAAGTTTAATATTAATTTGCTTATATATCTCTGCCTAATTAATATTAAAAAAAAATTTAAAACAATATATATACAATATATATACTAAATATAATTGAATAGTAGTTATGTTCATTTACTTAGAATTTTTGGTTTAATATAAAATAAATTAAAAAATTAAAAAAAAACTAGACTATAATAAACTAGACTATAATAAACTAGACTATAATAACATAAGCTATTAAAACTATAACTAAATTATTTAAACTATAAAATTATATAAATAAAAGAAATATTTATAAAAAAACCAATTGTTTAATTTTGTATTAGTTCTGATTTTAAAGATATGACTTTTGCAATATGAACAATAAAGTATAATTAATATTGTTTATTGTTGTATTAAAAAACTGGTTTGAACAGATTTAATTTTTGCTTTGTTGTTTTGATAAAATCTGATTAAATAATCAAAAGGTAATGATTATCTGAAAAAATAAATTAATTTCAGTTTTTGAAAAAAAATTAGAAAGTTTTTAAATAGTACAGTAAATGTTATCATAGTGAAGTTATATATAAGATTATATTAAAACAAACAATATATTTAATAACTTTATTATTTATTAATCTTTAATATGTATCAAGTCAATTTTTTTCTCTTTTTTTCTTCTATTAATTTTCTTGAGTAAAGATCTTAGCTACTTGATATCATCTTTGACATGTGATGGTTTTAATATTTGTTTTACTTACTGCTTAAATAGTTGTATATAAGTAAATTAGCCTTAGACTTATTAGCTTATTAAGTTATATAAAAGAAGTTGTTGCTTTCTGTATATAAAGTTTAAATAATTTTACTGTAAATAAAGTGATAAAGTTTTTCTACATTAAAAAAAAATTTATTTAATAACTTATTTAAATATGTTTTTTGAAAGGTATTTGATTTAGTGAGTATAATAATATTAATATGAATAGTTTTATAATATAGTAAAGATAAATAGAAGTGCAAGAGAACAAAGAAAAGAGAATCGTTATAGGCCTTTTCTTATACAACTTAAGAATACACAAGACTTTAAAACTTGAGTAAACTTCAATCAAAAATTCTATTTTACTGCATTAGTTGTTTTGAAATTTCTTAAATTCTTAAGCTAAGGCTCACTTGCAATAAAACGTGCAAATTATTTTTAATAAAGTAGATGTGATCAGAAGAGTTTTTTTATAAAAATATAACAACAAATAAATTAAAAAGTAATAATATAGAATTTTATAAAAAATTTTATTTTATTTCTATTATATTTTAAAATTTATTTTTAATATTAATAATAAATATGTTTTTTAAATAAAACTTGAAAGAAAACTATTATTTTAGTATATATATTTATATAAAATATAAAAAAACAATTAAGTAGCCCAGGTAATATTGTAATTTCATTTTAATATAATTGAATCTATAAGAGAGTTATAAAAATTGGGATTTTTTGAAAATTAGTTAGAGCATAAAAGACAAAATTGAAATTAGAAATATTAGTAAGACACATATATGATATGCATAGGGAAAGAGACAAGATAACAAACAAATAAATAAAGTTTTTTTGTTAACATATCAAGTTATTCTATACATATTTATTTATATTGTGACATATTCAAATGCCTCTTTTGATATTATACAATTAATGATTACAATGTAGTAACAGACCTACTAATTATTATCAGTCTAATTATAAGTAAAAAAAAAATCATAATATATTGATAATTTTGCAAAATAATAACTTTTAAATAACAAACATTTAAACATTTTGGCAATAAATAAGATTTTTGACAAACTAAAAAATTCCCAATTTCTATCAACAAGCTTTTAAGCAGTAAAGTTTCTTAAAACTTTTTGCCGACAATTTTTTAAAGAGCAATTTATACTGCATAATTCAGGTAAAATTTTAATAAAATAATATTTTATTGTCTAATATTGTGAAGTTAGATCTTCAATATCAAATAATTCTTTAAAGTTCAATAAATAAATCGCTATTTCTGCTTATTAATTCAAAAAACATAAGTCATACCTATATTATTCTCGTGCATCCGTCTTCCGCGTGGTAAGACTTCTATCGCAGTGACCATATAATAAGCCGTGGCTGATTCATGCAACTTTCAAAAAGACGAAATGTGACATTTAAATCAATGTATGATTTCTGTGTCTTAATACAGTATATATGAAATAATAAAATCGTTAAAATTTCGAAGAACGTATTAAAAACTTTTAAGGGTAAAAAATAATCAGTTGACAACTTACCGAAAAATTAACAAATGAAATTTCAATATGAATCATGTATGTAACGGTACATAACATGGTTTTGAACTAGAAATTTTGGTTATACAACCGAGTACAGTGTTTACTGCATGAGATAATGAAAGGTTGCGTAACGATGTATTTATCGAAAGTTCACATACAGGCGCTCGGATGTTTTTTCCGCCGATGGTATGACATGACTCTTTTCTGAGTAAAAATAACGTAAGCATAGTGAGTCATCAAGTTTTGCATACAGTAATAATCTTTATCTCAAATGTAGAAAATGGACATTGTCGGAAGAGAATTTGATTATCAGTCATTTGAACGTATAGAACTTTTATCGAGTGGGCCAATAAGCATAGTCAAAGTCGCTCACCTGGAAAAAATCCACAAAATTCTTATCCTGAAACGGAAAGTAAATGACAAATTCAACGTAAATTTCACTAGAGAGGTATATAAACGGGGATTAGATTATAATTATTAAAAATTATTTTATAATTTAATGTGATTAAAATTTGCAATTAAAATAGGTACAAAACTTAAAAAAAATTGACGAGAACGAAAATATCGTTAAAATCACGGGGATCAGTAAAGGTACATATTTTTTATACTTCACATTTTTTAACAATTATTTCCTATACTACATTGTTTAAATTTAATATTTGTATCTAGATTCTTTGACAGGATTTTGTTATATAGTACTTGAATATGTTAATAACAAAGATTTTAGGACGTACCTGCAAACGAAGTCCTCGAATATCAACTGGTCTACCAGAATAAAAATAGCGATAGGCATCGCAAATGGCCTGAATCATATGCATGGAGCCAACATAATACACTGCAATCTAGTGAGCTTACTTTATTATTGATCATAATTTGAAAACCCTTGTATTCAACCATTAAATAATATTTAAATCTGTTATTAGATCCCCCAAAATATATTAATGAATAACGATACACCGGTAATTATAGGGTTTGGTTCATCTACTTTACTCGACAAACCTGAAGACATCATCACCGTCAGATTCAATGAAAATCCGGACAAATTTTATGATCTGGTTTATTTTGACCCTCTGGCTTTTACTTATAAAAAAAGTAAAAATTTTGACATTTTTAGTCTCGGTGTGATATTTTGGGAGCTTTCAAGTGGAATTACTCCTTTTAGTGGAAGAGGATGGGATATATCAACTCTTAGGGAGAAACTGAGTTTGGGAATTAGGGAAAGTCCTGTAGAAGGAACTCCAGTAGACTATCAAGATATTTACTGTAGTGCATGGAATGAAATTCCTAATAAACGACCATCAGCTGAGAATATTATGTGTCGACTTGAAGAGATTAGCCTGTTTCAAGATTTTCACTCCTCACCTGAAATTCTATGTAGAAATTCAAGTTCCAAGGATGATCAGACAGACGCTTGTCTAGTAACAATAAAAGGCTTACCACAAAAACGTCATTACTTTCTTTCCAAGTCTGAAACAAATGTGGGGAGGGAGTCCATAAATCATATTATTATAAAGGATCAACAGGTGGATAAAAATCATGCGAAGATAAAAAATGACCATGGAAGATTTTCAATCACTAATATGAGTTCTTCAGCTGAAATTGTCATTAATAACAACGATAAAATAGTACCACATGGGACTATTTCTTTAGAAAAAAATGATTTAATTAAAATAGGAAGATGTGTCTTCCAATTCCTCCCTCCCGGAGAATATAAAAGCCGTCTGGATCCCAAATTTTCGATTTATAATTTTTGTCACTTTTTGGTAATTTTAGAAAATGAATTCAAGAAAACAAAGGATAATAGTTCAAAATTATGTATAGCATTTTTGGACGTGGATAATTTTAAAAGAATAAACGGCCATGGACATGATGCAGGCGATCATGTTTTAGAGAAATTAATTACATTAATCAAAGGCCGTCATGTCCGCTCCGAAGATATTTTTGCACGATTCGGTGGCGACGAGTTTATCATCCTTTTGAAAAATACTGATTCTGAAACGGCTGTTAAAATTGCAGAGGACATCAGGTCTTCTGTTGAAGCGCATTCATTTATTTATAAAGAAATGAAACTGGTGATCACCCTCAGCATTGGGGTTGTCGAGACGAATACATCGATAGAATCCGCTAAAGCACTTTGTGATCTTGCAAACAAAGCCATGATTTGTGCGAAAGAAAAAGGACGAAATCAAGTGAAATTGTGGAAAACCCAGTCAAATTTAAACGGTAATTTGTTGTACTGACTTATTATTATTAAAATATCGACACCATGTAAATTTCTTTTATTTTTATCCCCAAAGGTCATATTAAAATCTCCGTTCATTTTAATGAGTCAAAATTCTTGGAGATTTTCCCTCAAGATGCGTACCTATCAGAAGTTCGCAAATTGTTATCCGAAAGATTCCATCGATATAAATTTGGCCCGGAAATGCGCAGTAATTGTCACTTTGAAGACCCTAAATATGGAATAGTGAGAGATGAAGATAAAATTTTGTTAACTGAGATTGCTCACGAAAGTGCTATAAAAATCGTTTTGAATTACCCAGACTTGCATGAGTTCGCTCAGCGTAGTGAGTATGGATTTAAAATAACAGACAAAGGATCTGAGAGAGCAAGAAAAAAGTCATCGAGTATAAAAAAATACACAGATATTAAAGGTTACCCGAAGCCAGATATTAATATACGTTGTAAAAACCATATAGACCATTTATGTGCACGTAACTTGGTAGATTACTTAGCAGATTACTTAGCAGATTCAGAAGAAACGATTCACTGGTTATCCATCTGTCTTGGAATAGAAAAAAAAGATCTGGAAGGATTGAACAATAATTCTTTTCTTCCCAACAATTACAAAATATTAGAACGTCCCATGGCACATATAATAGTGGAAGATATAATTATTTCTCCGGAACTAAAACAAGAAATTAAAAAGGCCGTTGATAACAAACATTCTATATCAAAACAGCGCGAAAAACTTAGGAAAATAAGCGAAGAATTTGGTCAATTTTATTCCGAGGAAATAATATTAGGAGGAAAAATTGTGCAACAAAAAAATACATTGACAGGTATGAAATTAAATGCTCTGTTTTTTTTTTTTAAAGGAAAATTTCATATTGAAAAAGATTACTAAAAACGGCCTAAAATCTCTTATATTAGACAGCACTTCAAGTAATCGAAACGTCGGCTCTGCTTCTAAACTCATACCAACAAGTGATGAATTTTGTATTATTATCGGTGGCAGCAAAGAAACCTCTCACAAGGATCATTCCGAATCTGAATGGCTAAAATCGTTAATACGTGATCCACAAACTTGGGAGATAATTGGATATAAAAAGATTTCTCCCATTTTTAACCTTTTGCAAGAAAATGATGAGGAGCAAAGGACTTTAAAACAAAAGGTGTTGAAAGCACTCGGTATTGACTAAAAAATTATTCATTCTATCCATTAAATGCCGCGCTTTATTAACAAAAAAATATTTGCAGGTTCGGAAAAACGAAATAGAAGACCTCTTCACAAGTTATTCGGAAAACGATCGTAACAATATGATCACTTTCCACATCCTTTTAGGATGATTAAATGTGTAATTAATTAGACTTGTTCATTATTTAGAGTATTATTGTTATTGCTATTTTGTAAATTTGCAAAAGTTTAATATAATGTGAGGGATTAATCACTCCTCAACAATTTAGAAAAAAAAACACAAATGTTGAATAAGGTTCAGTCAAAGTCTTCTCAAGACATCCTAATTCACTCAAAAACAAAAACAAAAACAAAACAAAAATCATAAAAAATAACAAACATCCCAGGATACTACTGTATGAGTCTAAGATTTTGTTATTAAAAAAAATAAGACAAATGAGAAAATGATTATTTAAATAAGAAAAATAAGACTAAGAAAAGGATCATTTAAATAAGAAAAATAAGAAAAATAAATAAATAAAACTTATTTTGCCAATACAGTACGTGTTGTTGATCCTGCAAATTGTGCTAATTCCCTTGATTTTAACACTTTCTCTACACATCATATGCGTGTGTCCTTCACAGTACGTAATACTGTATACGTAACAAAATTATTCTGGTCCTGCATCGCCTACTTTAAATCAAATAAATTAACGCCTACGTTTATTAATTCAGAATAATACAAATATACAGTACTGTATATATTCATTGGCTATTTATGATAAAAAGGCGTTATTAACATAACAAAACTAAAAAAACATGATACGATATACTGTATATCTAACCATCTCGGCCAAACTTTCTAGTTACTGTATTGTACTTTCCAAAATTCATCAAGGTCATAAAACTTATCATAATAGAAAATCAAATGTGCCACATTAGTAGAAGACGTTTTATTATTATCATTACTGTACTGTAGATGTGTATATGTGTGAGAAGCATTCCCTGCATCTCATATGATAAGATTTAGTCGTCTTTATTTTACTCAAATTATAGTGGATCACGAAATATTTCTTCCACATTCGCTAATTTATCAAAAGTGAACTTATTTCTTTTAAGATCACGGTATATATTGATGAAAATTTTTGCAAATAAAGTACTGATCCAATAATTTACTTTATTGAAATAGTTTCGAAAAAAAAATACTTCAAGGCCGTCGAGTAAAGGAAAAAAAATTCAAGAGAGGTATGTTGGCTAAGTTACAAACCAATAGAGAATTGAGTTCTTAAACAAAAAAATATGGAAAAAAAAATTCCTTTATGAATTGATACGAAAGCGAAAAAACTTCTTGAAACACTCGTAAAAAAGAAAATTTGTAGAGCACCCGAATTAATTGAGGAAAATAATAAAAATAAAATCGAGAAAAAAAAATATACAGTAGGAAAAAATTCCTTTGCGTCCTATATATTTACGTTTTATGAATTGTAAGAAAGTTTCCTATAATATCTATATAAAAATAGTAATGGGATACGGTAGAAAGTAAGAAAATTTCTTGAAAAAATCGTAGAAAAAATGAACAACAACGAAATAATGAAGAAGAAAAAATCACGAAGAAATAAGATTTTACTCATTCGGTGCATTCGAGTTAAATCCAAGATATCTTCTGATTGATTGTCGCTAATAAGTTCTTAAAATACGAAAACGAAAACGACTTGAAAAAAAAATTATTCTTCGGGGAATAAATGAATAAAACGAACTGATGATTGGTCGCGGAAAAAATGAAATGGATTTGATTGTGGTAATAAAATGAATAAGCGATATATTATAGGAATTCGATTTTGAAGAATTTAATTTAGTCAAGGAAATTCTTTGAAAAAAAAAAAGTAAATTAGCAAATAATTAAAACCATTACAAAAATTTAGTACTTCTGCTTACCGGTAATCTTATAGTGTATGTTGTTGTCAATCTTAAAAATACATAATAATAATGCTAATCTGTGCATAATAACAATTCTAATCTTAATTGAAATCATATATCTTAGTTTATTATCTTTTTCAAATGGATTCATTCGTATTAAGACGGATATCTAGAACAATAGTATAAAATTTTGAAGTTAGTCAAGATGATATTGTCACTTCAAAACATCATAAAAATACTTCAACTTATTTACAAATTATACATACTTAAAGCACGAACAAAATCGACATCTATTATTTCTTTGGTGCGGTTTCTTTGACCTTTTTTGTTGAGTTTTTTCATACAAGTTTACTTGTACGTCTATAATAATCCGATCTTGTTGATTGATCGAATTCGGTTGAAAGTGTAGAGTTAAATATCGAATATCAATCCGGTTAAAAAAATGTCTGCGACAAAAATTTATATTATTAATAAGGATAGAAATATCTCTGTGACTCCAAGAATCTTTTAGAAGATAATTAATTCGACGATAATTATTTGTATTTCGAATAGAGATCATAACATCGTTGGTTTCCTTCGAGTATTGTGAGATAAAATATTCGCTATTTAGACTAATCCTGCTTTTGGATATAGTTTCGGGTGAAAACGGTAATTTAGCAACAACGTATTCCTCTCCCTTTTGAGACAAATGGATATCATTTTTTGTAACATCCAGTACCCCTGTCTGTAATAAATCGATGTCCCGAGAATTTCTGCTGTAGAATCCGATTTCACGCGGATTTCCAATCATCACCCAAGATATCATAGCACCAATTAATTGTTCGTCGTTTAAACTACATTTATAATGAAAAAAAAATCATTAATAATTATTTAAATGCTCGTTGATAAAATATTGGCAAATTAAAAAATACCTTTTTAATGTTACACAAAACCCATGATTGGAGAAGTTTTTAAATGAAACAGTTGAATTTTCTATTTCCATATTTCCATACGTAATAAAACCAAAAATTTGATATTTGTTTGTTTGTAATGGAGTATCAAATTCAACACGGTAATGAAGATCGTGGGTTATTTTTACTTGACCATTCATTAAAACTTGAAGTTTACTACTAAAGCACTTTTCGATTTCTTTTCGCATAGGAGAGTCGAGAATCATGTTTGTTGGAATCAAATCCGAATATCCAATGATTTCCAACTGGTGAAAATCTTTTAAGATCCACGTTTCTAAATGGTCAATTTCGACTATATTTCCCTCGGTAGACACAAAATAGGTTGAATCAAATCCACTTACTGAAAGAAGGGTTTTCCATTCATCTAGTATAGCTTGAAATTCATCAAATTTCTTACTAGATGCAGATAACTTGTATTGATCTAATGGTCTATTATATGATGCTAATGTAAATTCGTGACAATTGCGCGATAGCTTTTTACCAATAATTATCTTGCGTGGAATTAAATGCCCGAATTTTTCGAAAACTTTGCACAATGAAACATAAGGATTCATGTCAAGCAAAGCATTTTCCAGAGCTTGAACTAACTGAATGGACGGTTTGATGTCTTCGAATCTTATTTCAACTAATGGAATGGAAATCTCACAATGGATAGCTAGAAAGGAATCGTCTTTTCTACATTTAAAATTTGTCGGGTTGATATTTGAAAAAATCTCAAGAGAGACAGACTCCAGAAATTCATGCACATTTTCTTCTATGACCACATTATTTTCAAGAAAATAAGAAAGTAACTTGGATGTTGTGGTAATTAAATTGATTCTCGGATTTCTACATTGATTGACGCACCTAATATTTATATTGGAATATACATTATTGAAATCTTTGCCCGTTTTCACCAATCTTTCTCTATTTGAAATTAATCCAAGGGAAACTGAATATGTGCCCTATTTAGAAAAATTGACATCATATTATTGCTAAACATTAACTTTTTTTTTAAAAAAAATAAAAAGGCAAATTTTTTCGTACTTAAAACACGGCATTGTTTTTACCTCAGTGTAGCCACTTAGATAATCCTCTTTGATAACGGTTAAATCCAATAATCCAAATGTACTCTCAGGTAAAGGTAAATACTGAGTAGAACGATCGCAAAAATTATTTTGATCTTTAGTATCCCCACCATAAGACAATTTTAATCCTTCCAAATCACTTGTGATTTTAATTACATGTGGATAACAATATTTTAAACAATCATCATACGTGGCATAAAGAACCTCGTATGATCCTTGATAAAGATTTCCAAAATCACCTTCAATATCTCCATCATCAGCTGATGTTAGGCACCTCGGAAATTCCTCTTTTTCATGACACCTGGCATAAATGTTTTCGTATAATCTTTGACAACGATTTCCAAGATTATCTTCAATATCCCAATCATCTGCAAATGATAAGTGCCACTGAAGTTCATATCCTGAGACTTTCGGTATTGCGTGTTTAAATATATTATAATCATTAAAAGGATCTTTTTTGAATGAATTTGACAAAACATAACTCCATCCCGAGACATTTTTATGATAAACCAATTCCGGACAAAAAATATCTCCATGTTTATGATTCTTGCATGAATCTAAATAAAACATTATTAACTGTCCGAGTAACATTAATTAATATAAAATATGTATTAATACCTTTATAAATATCATTATATCCAAATAATACGCTATGTTTTGTAAGACCGCTTAAAATTGCATATTCTGGATTAAAAAAAGAACGCAAGCCTTCAATTTCACAAAAACCGACAGTCAGATTGTGAATATATGATCTTATATTTTCTGCTTTATATTTAGACAATCCAAGGTCTGCAACTTTATTCCTTTCCCTATTAATGAGATTATTTCGAGTTTGCTACATTAAGAAAACACAATTAATAAAAATTAATAAGACAATATATAAATTATAGTCTGATTACCAAATCTCTGTGTAAAATTTTGTCATCTGGTCGATATTTAAGTCTGCTCGCAATATCATACCAATTTTCGCTTGCTTCTTTACTAATTTTAAACTTTTGAGGATCTGTATGTCAAACCATTTTATTAGTTTCTTATAAACATAAAAATATTTATTTTTAAGACTGATTTTACTTAATAAAAATAGACTTTACTAGCTATCTTAGAAATCCCGTAAAGCTTCGAAATATTGTCTTCATTTTCGATATTTATTGTACGAAATATAAAATAGCTATTGATTTGTCTTGTTATAACTTTATTATTCTCAGGGGAATTAGTAGCCTCCGAGAGCGCTAGAGCAGGACCCGTCAAAAGTGGAAAAACCATAGTAATTAGGAAAACCAAAAATCACCAAGTTTGATCAATGGTAAGATTATGAGTGTGCATGTGGCGTGGGCATACGCCTTCGAAGTACTGTACGATGTTACAGTGTGAAACAAAAACAGAATCAGTAAATCAGTAGGGGTATCCTTTTACTGTATACAGTACTTCATGTGGCGCAAAAATTAATAAATTGCGTGCAGATCTATAATAATTCACGTGTAACCAACAAAAGTTCTTTTTTTGGAATAAAAGATCGTATGTAAGTCAAAGAAAAGAAACAACGTGGTATGTGTTGCTAATGAAAAAAATATAAATTGTTGTTTTTGTTTTTGAGTTTTTATTAAATTTGAATAATTAATAATTAATTATTCGATTATAAATAAAATATATATTTATATTTATATTAACTAATGCGTGTTTACATTAAATATTTGTTTATTTTTTATATTGTATAATTTTATAAAAATATACAATTTGATTTTCTATAGCTGTTTAAATCCATTATGTATTATCTATCTATCTATTTATTTATTTTAAAAATAAAAAAAAAAATTTTTACAATTTTATTTATTCGTTTCTATATTTTGAAAATTTTTTGATTTTAATTAAATAAATTAAATATGTCAATATACATTTAGAGAATCTTTTTAAATGCATTGGCCATATTTTTACTTGTTAAATGCATATTTACGTTTGATTTCAAGTATATAAAACTTTATTAAAACATTTTCTTTAAATACATATAATATACACTTTAAATATTTGTTTTTTAAAAAATTATTTATAATTTCAAATAAAATTTATTTTAAAAAAATTTACTATATATATATTGTTATAAAAATAATCATAATTTTATTATCTTTAACATATTAATATGTTTTTTTATAAATATTAAAATTTTTTCTGCATGTTATATATAAAACTTAATTAAAAACAAAATATTTGGTTATTGTAAAAAAGAATTACAACAAAATTTATTTTAAAAACAAATAAAATTATTATCTTAATTTATTATTTTTTTATATTTTAATAATTTTTTTTAATGTTAGAGTGAGGTATTACTCATGTTCTTTATTAATAAAGTAAAGGTTTAACTTGTTACATGATTAATATTAAGATATAAATTATATCACTATAGATATTTATTAACCTACCACTTATTAAACAAATATATTATCTGAAAAACCCTTGAGCAGAAAAAACTTGAGGAACTATTTGTTATGAAAAATAAAAAATAAAAAAACATTTGGGGCAAGATCGCCTGCATTATATAACATTTGATCGAAAAGAAAAAAAAAAGAAAAAATTGAAACTTTTGTTAAATATGGTTCCTGAATGCAATGAGGTGTTTCAGTCAAGTGTTGGCACCACGCAAGCTACATATAACTCGATGGATTTGGTCATGTGATATTTTGTGATGTTGTTGTTATATGATTTGATTATGTTGTAATATAAATAATAGGATAACTAGAATATGTTCCAGATATTTATTATATTGTTGTAATAAGTGTTGTATATTATGATTACTAGAACTCATGCAAGGCACTGATCACATGCTCTTCCAATCCAGTAAGTTATTATGTTGTTTTGGTATATAAAAGTGATATGAAATGTGATTAGTGTTTTTTGTATTGCAGATTATTAGATGGGGGTAAAAACTGGTTATAGTTTTTGTGTTAAAATTTGTGGACAAGAACTGGTAACTAGCTAGAAGATTGTGTGAAATCTAGTTATCATCAGCAGAAAACAAAAAAACCCTAAAAAATAAAATACTGCCTCTTAATAATGAGATTGTTTTTGAGTTAAGGATAAGAAATATGGTTGTTTTGTAGCCATTATATATAGAGATGGCCTTCATATAGAAAATTTCTTTTTATTTGTCTTTTCTGTTCCAAGTTATTGTTTAGTGCCATTATCAGTCATTAAACCTCTTAGTATGAATTCTATTGCTAGAAACCCCAGGGGCCAATCTTATTCTTAAAACCTCTATTGCTCTAAATCAGTCCTCCAATTTATGTCTCCTCTCAAAAGAACATATTCCGCTAGGCAAAGTTTCTTGGAAGAGAGAAGCTTTCTAAAAAGGCAATTTTCTATAAATGAAAATATTGTGGGAAAGAGTTTTTTTTTTATATTTTAATAATTACAAATATATATAGTTCTGGCAAAAAAAAATTAAATTAAAAAAAACTTTATTATTATAATAATATTAATATAAATTAAAAATAAATTTATTAGTATTTTAAAATAATAAAAATATTTTTTTAATATCAATATAATTATATATAATTTTATTAAAAAATTTTTTTTCTGATGTTATTTTTTATTAACATTGAATATAAAGAAGTC